GTTGTTATGTCCCCCATTTCATTTCTGATTTTGTTAATTTGTTCTCTCTTTGCCTTTTGATTAGTTTGGATAAGGGTTTGTCTATCTTGTTGATTTTTTCAAAGAGCCAGCTCTTTGTTTCATTGATTCTTTATTCTATTTTATTGATTTTGGCCCTCAATTTGATTATTTCCTGTCATCTATTCTTCCTGGGTGAGTCTGTTTTTTTTCTTAAGTGTTCAAGGTGTACTGTTAAGTTGCTAGTGTGAGATTTCTCCACTTTCTTTATGTAGGCACTTAGTGTTATGAACTTTCCTCTTAGCACTCCTTTCAAAGTGTTCCATATTTGACTACGTAGTCATTTTCATTGAATTCTCAGAAGTATTTAATTTCTTTTTTTTTATTTCTTCTTTGACCCAGGGGTGATTTAATTGAACACTGTTCAATTTCCATGAGTTTTTAGATTTTCTGCAATTAGTGTTGTTGTTAAATTCTAACTTTTAAACCATGGTATTCTGGTAAGATATATAGGGCTACTTCAATTTTTTTTGTATCTGTTGAGGTTTGTGGTCAGTTTTAGAGAAGGTTCCATGAGGTTCTGAGAAGGTATTTTCTTTTTGTGTTTGAGTGGAATGTTCTATAGATATCTGTTAAGTTCATTTGAGTCACAACATCTGTTAGGTCTCTTATTTCTCTGTTAACTTTTTGTCTGGTTGACTTTGTTCTTTGGGAAGTGTTGGGTGTTGAAGTCTCCTACTACTAGTGTGTGTGGTTTGATGTGCAATTTAAGCTTTAGTAATGTTTCTTTTACATATGTGGATGCTCTTCTATTTGGGGCATAGGTGTTCAGATCAAGACTTCATCTTGATGGATTTTTTCCTGTTGTGAGTATAAAGTGCCCTTCTCCATCTCTTCTGATTGATTTTAGTTTGATGTTTATTTTCTTAGATATTAGGATAGCTACACTTGTTTGTTTCTTAGGTCCATTTGATTGGAAAATTTTTTTCCCAACCCTTTACTCTGAGACAATATCTTCTTTGTGGTTGAGGTGTGTTTCTTGTATTCAGCAGAAGGATGGATCCTGGTTTTGAATCCATACTCTTAGCCTGTGTCTTTTTATAAGTGAATTGAGTCCATTAATATTAAGAAATATTAGTGACCAGTGATTGATAATTCCTGTTATTTTTTTGGTGGTAGTGTTTGTGTTTCCTTTATTTGGGGTATGTTGGTGTGAGGTTATCCGTTGCCTGTGTTTTATTTGGGTGCAGTTAGCTTCCTTGGGTTGGAGTTTTTCTTCTAATATTTTCTGTAAGGCTGGGTTTATGAATAGGTATTTTTAAAATTTGGTTTTGTCATGGAATATCTTGTTTTATCCATTGATGGTGATTGAAAGCTTTGTTGCATATAGTAGTCTGGGCTTGCATCCATGGTCTCTTAATGTCTGTAGCACATCTGTCCAGGATCTTCTGGCTTTCATGGTTTCCATTGAGAAGTCAAGTATAATTCTGATAGGTCTGTCTTTATATGTTACTTGGCCTTTTTTTTTTGTCTGTATGTTTTGATTATTATATGGTGTGGGGACTTTCTTTTTGTTTTGGTCCAGTCTATTTGGTGTTCTGTAAGCTTCTTGTACCTTCACAGGCATATTCTTCTTTAGGTTGGGAAAGTTTTCTTCTATAATTTTGCCAAATATATTTTCTGTGCCTTTGAGTTGGAGTTCTTCTTCTATACCTATTATTCTCGGGTTTGGTCTTTTCATAGTGTCCCAGATTTCCTGGATGTTTTGTGTTAAGAATTTATTTAATTTTTCATTTTCTTTTACCAGTGAATTTATTTCCTCTATAGTATGTTCAACATTTGAAATTCTGTCTTCCATCTTTTGTATTCTGCTGATTATGTTTGCATCAGTAGTTTGTGTTTGCTTACCTGGATTGTCCATTTTCAGAATTCCCTCAGTTTGTGTTTTCTTTATTGCCTCTATTTCAGTTTTCAAGTCTTGAACTGTTTCTTTTACCTGTTTGATTGCTTTTTCTTTGTTTTCTTGAGTTTCTTTAAGAGATTTGTTAATTTCTTCCATCTTTTTTTGTCTTTTCCTCCAGTTCTTTAAGGAATTTTTTATTTTTTATTTAACGGTTTCTATCTTTATAAAGTTATATTTAAGATCATTTTCTTCTGCTTCTTCTGGGTTTAGGATGATCAGGTCTTACTGTTGTATGACCACTGGGTTCTGGTGTTACCATGTTGCTTTTTTAGATTGTTGAATAAATTTTTGCATTGGCACCTACCCATCTCTTCCTCCAGCTGTTGCCGGCAGTGTCTTTGCCTCTTGGTCCATTCCTTATGGTTACTGTCTGTGTCTCAGGGAGATGCTCTTAGTCTAAGTCTACTCTGTGCAGTTGCTGTTTGTGTCTCAGGGAGCTGCTGAGGTCTCTCTTGGCTGCTTTCTTGATTCGCTCTGTGCAGTTGCAGACTGATTCAGAATTCCTCTGAGCTTGCAGGGGATGGGTGGGTTCAGGGGTGGACTAGGCCTTGTAGCTTTTAGGGTCTGATGGATGGGTGGGGATGTTGGAGTAGCCTATCTGCAGGAATCTTGCCTGCTGACTGGCTAGTGAAGCTGAGGCAGGTGGGTGAGGGATCTGGGGTTCTGCTCCATTACCGAGGGCCTAGAGAATGGGGTGCCCAGCTGGCTGGTCCACTGTGTGCAGTTGCAGCCTGACTCCATTTTCTTTTTAGTTAAACAGTGGTGGACTTTGAGCATGTCCTCAGCTAGAGATCAACTTTTTTTTTTTTTAAATTTACTCTTCCTCATTAATCTTGCGTATTACACATTGTAAATTGTTTCCAGTGTTCCAAGAATGAACTGACCATAAGATGCTTTGTGGATGTTAACTGACTGACTGTTGGAGGGGGCTGCTTGTTGGTTCCAGGCTGCCCGGCTAGCTTAAACCCAAAATAATCACACAGAAACTATATTATTTAAATCACTGCTTCCCATTGGCTCTAGTTTCTTCTCGGCTAACTCTTACATATTAATCGAACCCATCTCTATTAATCTGTGCATCACCACGAGGTTGTGGCCTACCAGTAAAGTTTCAGCACATCTGTCTCTGGTGGTGGCTCCATGGTTTCTCTCTGATTCTGCCCTTCTTTTTTCCAGCATTTAGTTCTGTCTTCCCCGCCTACCAAAGTTCTGCCCTGTTATAGGTCCAAAGCAGTTTTTTTTTGTTCATTAATGGTAATCACAGCATACAGAGGAAAATCCTGATGGAGGAAGGTCATTGGTTAAAAAATAAAGAAACTGCCTTGGCCCATTTTATTGGTTAGAACATAGGTGGGTGGAGTAGACAGAACAGAATGCTGGGAGGAAGAGGAAGTGAGCTCAGAGGCCATGCTCCCCTCTCCCGGGCAGACGCCATGAAGCAAGCTGCCAGGTCAGACACGATGAATCTTTCCTGGTAAGACTGATGCTACACAGATTATTAGAGATGGGTTGATCGGGATATGAGAATTAGCCTGTAAGGGCTAGAGTTAATGGGCCAAGCAGTGTTTAAAAGAATACAGTTTGTGTGTTGTTATTTTGGGTAAAGCTAGCTGGTGGCAGGAGCTGGGTGGCGGAACACAGCCCACAGCTCCTACTACAAAATCCCACATCAACTGACCATAAACCCATAACTGTACCTTTCCCATGACCATAACAAGAACTGCCAAATTCCATCGTTAATCACTTGCTCACTTGGTATAAAGAGACTGCTCTGCCTCTAGTCTGTCATTTTCATTCTCCTTCTATGGGAGACTGAAAATACGGCCCAGCCATTAGTAAATTTTTACTTTGTGACATCTTGGTTTTGCTCCTGTTTTTGACACTGTGGCAACTCAGTGGTTAAGAGTAAGGGCTGCTCTTCCAGAGGACCTGGGTTTGATTCTTAGCTCCTTCATTGGGTGGCTCACAATCACATACAACTCCAAGGTATCAGACACCCTCTGACACACGCATGGCATGTGTGTGTGCACACATGCACACACACACTAAAATAAAAATAAATCTTAAAAAGAAATATGTTTGTAAATTAATACTGAATTTGCAAACTAGTTTCTTTAAAGAATTGATTTTGTTGGCTGTGTTCTTGTAAAACTTTTTAGCTGTTGTCTGCTAGCAGTCTGTTGTGGTATTTGTTTTTGATGGTTGAGGGTTTTGGTTTCTTGTTCATTTGTTTTTAGACAGTGTCTCACTGTGCAACTCTGGCTGTCCTAGAACTTGATATGTAGACCAGGCTGGCCTAAAACTCAGAGATCCTCCTACCTCTGCTTCCCAAATCCTGGGATTAAAGGAGCATGGCACCACACCCAGCTGGTGGCTGTGTTTTTGGAAAGCTTTATGAGGAAATGTTGTCCACTAATATTTTGCATCAATGAAACTTCTAACAAAAGGACCTGAGTATTACTTTTCAGGTGCTTGGACTTCACCTAAAGGACAGACAAAAGGAATATTCAAGAATCAACTCCAGGTAGGGTTGATTTAAGATACACTTCTTTGCTGGGCATTATGGTGCACACCTTTAATCCCACTACTTGGTAGGCAGAGGCAGGCAGATCTCTGTGTGTTTGAAGCTAGCCTGGTCTACACAGTGAGTTCTAGGATAGCTACATGCCTCAAAAAAATGATCCACTTCTATAACTCCTCATTACTTAAAATTGGCTATAAATGGTTTTATTGGCAGGAGATCCTTGGCATATATCATTGTACCAGATCTTTTCTTTTTTGACACCAAACAGTCCACAAACCACGACACAAAGACTTAGTATTAATTTTGAATGCACAGCCTAGCTTAGGTAGTTTCTGGCTAGCTCTTTTAGCTTAAATTAACCCATTTCTCTTTATCTACCTTTTGACTTGGGGCTTATTACCTTTCTTTTTTCTGTATATCTCACTTTCACTGCTTCACTGTTTGTCTGTCTGTCTGGCATTTGCCTGACTTCTTGCCCTTGGCATTTTCCTCATTCTTCTTCTCCTATTCTTCCCTTTCTTTCTCCCGAGCCTAGATTTCTCCTATTTATTATAAATAGGAGGTTCCATATTTATAAATCTCAGAAGGGGGTGACTCCATTAGAGATCCAGCTGTCCCTAGTTCTCTGGTGGGAGGCAGGAGGAGAGGGAGTCTTGTATTAGCAGGCAGGACTCCAAGGAGACTCTAAGGAGTAGCATCTCTAACTGATAGGCACCCATTATATGGGTGGCCTGCTCAAATCCCAGAGACTAGCAATCTGAGGTCTATAAACTTCCTTAGGGAAGGGAGAATGATGTCTGCTATTCTTCCCAAGTCTGGACACCTGGGCAATCTGTTAGGTTGGAGATTCACAGTAGAAGGGCTGCCATCTTTCCTATGGCAGCAGAAGAAAGAGGCTACACATGGTACAGATAGCCTGCAGTCCCAAACTTAACAAAACAAATTGTCCTTTGAATTATTTCTTTTAATCATGGTGAAAAAATTAACACAGTGGTCTCAAATACATATCAAATACAACTGGAAGACAAGATTGCCAAGGTTCTGTGGCTCCTGTGAAATCTGCTCTAAAGTAAGGAAACAATTTCCCCATGAACAGCAGCTGACACTTTCCATGGCTGAGCTTGATCATGTGCCACAGTTCACTTTGTGAGAATGGAGGCCGGGGAGAGACATGGCTAGGAGAGAAAAGGAGATCCAGAGAAAGGAGTGAATGTTCCTCAGCATTCTTTCAGCTAGGAGGTTCTACAAGGCTGTCCAATGAAGCCAAATGACAGGCGTGAAAAACCGGCACTGTTTCAACTTCCACCTGTAACTAGATAACAGACAGCGATGGCACATTGTTCTTTCAGCTTCCCATTTAATATGCCAAGTCCAAGAAATACAAGTTGTCATAACACTCTCTCAGAAGCTTCAGAATTGGCTGAAAGGGTGAATGGAAATAAATGGTGGCTGTTGCTCAAAGGTAAGTGGCTTACAAAGCCGTAGCCCGCCACTTCCCAGGCACTACCTCAAACTCTGTTGGAGTTTCCATGGAGAAGCAGCTGCCAATTTCAACCCCATGGGCTACAGGTGGCTACCAGAACTTCTCCTAGGACCTGAGTCCCTTCCATGGCTTGGCCACCCCAGGTTCAGCTGGCTCTGGCTCTAGCTCTGGAGCATCCAGCTGATCTTAGGCTGTGGAAGAATGACTGGTGGGGTACCAGGTCTACTATGATTTTGCTAAAAGCATCTCTATACTCACAGATCAGTGCAGCTCCCAGACTACATCAAGTAAATTCCTTTGTGCATTGGATGGAACCTCACAAGAGCTGCAGGTACAGAGCGTAAGTGTTTACGGAGTGCTCAGGAGTGCTCAGCCACAAATGGGTCATCCATATCATAGCCACTCCTGTGGAAGAGGGGAATGGAAAAACTGGGAAAGCCAGAGGTCAAGGAGGACTGGACACAACAGCACCACTGAACCTATGAACTCATAGTAGCTGTTGTTCCCTTCCAAGACCTGTACAAGATCAAACCAGTCAGTATCCTAGAATGGTTCACAAGCCCCAGCCATCATTGAGGAGACATTGGCAGGTGGCTATGGGGAAGGGAGAGTCACTGTTTCAAACGAGTGTGGCTCCTGATAGGTTGATCTGATCCAGTGGATGACCTCACCCATGAGTACACGGGCAACAAAAACTGGGCTCAGTGGGTTATTTTTAAAAAAGAGACAGTAAACAAAGATGGGAAGAAACAGGGTGGATCTGCGAGAGTCTGGGAGAGGAGTGGGGGAGAAAATGTCCAATATATTGTACACATGTATAAAATTATCAAAGAATAAAAATTAATTATTAAAAATAATTTAAAAAATTAATTAAAAAAAGAAGCACAATATGGGAGGCTGGAGAGATGTGCGGCAAGAAAGAGCAAGTATGGCTCTTCTGGAGGAGCTTGATTTCCAGTTCCAGAGGATCTGACAGCTTCTTCTGTCCTCTTCAGGCACCCATATGCATGATACACACACCCAGACACGCTTACATATAAATAAATCTTTTTAAAGACAGGGTTTTACTATATAGACTACACTATAGATCACTCTATAGATCAGCATGGAGCTTATAGAGGTTCACCTGTCTCTGACTGCTAATGCTAGGATTAAAGGTGTGTATTACCTCACCTGGTCAAAAATAAATCTTTAAAGCAAATGAATAAAGCAGCAGCAAAATACCATGGTTAACCATGAGGTGGTGACAAGTAAGCCCTGGCATTTGGAGGCAGAGGCAAGTGGACCTCTGTGAGTTCTAGGCCAGCCTGGTCTACTTAAAGACCTCCAGGTCTCATCTCAAAAAACAAAAATAAAAACAATAAATGATGACTAGAAGCCAGGTGGTGGTGGTGCACGTCTTTAATTCCAGCACGTGGGAGGCAGAGGCAAGTGGATCTCTGTGAGTTCGAGGCCAGCCTGGTCTACAAGAGTTAGTTCTAGGACAGCTAGGGCTGTTACACAGAGATACCCTATCTTGAAAAACCAAATAAATAAATAAATAAAAATAAAAAAAATAAAAAATGATGACTGGAGAGATGGGTCAGCAGATAAAGGTGCTTGTCCCTAACTCTGACGACCTGAGTTCAATCCTGGGGACCCACACATTAGAAGGAGAGAATCAGCTCCCTCACACTGCCCTCTGAACTCCACACATACACTTTCATGGCACATACATGCCCCCCATGTATATACAAATAAACGTAAAAACAAGAAGTAAATATGTTTTCTAGCACATTAATCTCCCAATTTATTTGAGCACCTACACACACACACACACACACATACACACAGATAGATAGATAGATAGATAGATAGATAGATAAAGAGAGAGAGAGGAGAAAATAAATAAATAAATAACTAAACCCTTTAAACCCTTTCAAAGGGAAATCTGGAATCAGGGACCACAGAAAGAATATGATGGAGAGATACAATGGGAAACCATGCTGTGTCTAAAAATCAGGGAATGCTGGAGGCTCTCTTGGTAGAAGCCAGGAGATGTGAAATAGTTCCCGCTCACAACCTTCAGAAGGAACAAGGTTAGGTTAATACTTTAACTTTAGACATCTGGCCTCTGGGACTATGACAGTGAAGTCTGTGTTGGTTTAAACCACATAGCTTATAGTCCCAGAAAGCTCACAGAGCCTTCTCCCAGTGACGACAAGCACAGTGATGTAAGATACAATAGCACAGGTTGAGGAAAAAATGAACAACGGTTTAATCTCTAGGACCCTAGACAACAGAGGTGTGGATCCATTCCCATAGGAATGAGCTGTGTTCCCTAAGACGGCTGGAAAGATGTTTGTTCACAAACAACAAGCCTCTCTGTAACATGCAGTCTGTGCTTGTGTACATGCACACTCCACACACACCACTCCATTTCCATGTTTGCAGTGAGTTTCAATGCAATCCTTTGCTGCAGTCTGAAGTGGAGCAGGTACTGGGCTTGCCAGTTTTGACGTCTGTTCATATTTCAGGACATTTGTCCTAGGGACACATGACTGCTGAGACTCTTCCAGGGAGTGCTTCTTATGACAAGTCTGAAAGGCAGACAGCGAGTTCCTGCAGCCCTGTATTTTAGAGGCTGTTCTGAAGGGTCCGTGAGAGCAGGCTTTCCCCTGGGGGTTCAGCAGCTGGGACAGGAGTGGAGACCGGTGCTGCTTGGGTGGGGGGCGGGTCTTCATGCAGAACAGTGTGGAGTTCAACAGAGGTTCTTTATGTCAAACGTTTGTCAGGATCCAGTTTTATAAATAAAGCTAAACCAACAAAACAATAGATGATTGTATGTCAACTGTTTTCCATTTGATGAGGCCAAGCAGGAAGACAGTAGGAAGGGATTGCTCGTATCTTTATCTTTCTACTCTCGTTTCTCAGAAAACTTAACTAACTTTTGACTGGGGGTGCTGGTGCACACACTTAATACCAGCACATGGGAGGGAGGCAGAGATAGGTGGGATCTCCGTGAGTACAAGGCCAGTCTGGTCTCTATAGTGAGTTCCATGCCGGTCAGATGCTGTCTCAAAAGTAAACAAATCAATTTCTGACTGTCAAAGTCATTACCTTCCCTCCCCTCTACCAGGTCCTCCATTACTTCATGATTCATTAATACTTCTATCAAGAGGAAGTCTGGGAAATGACAACTGATATGGAAGGTTTTGTGAGCGTGCTAATAAGCTTTAACTGTCAACCTGACAGCCCTGATACCCGAGAAGGGTGTCTCAATTAAGGGCTTGCCCATATAGATTGTCTGCGGGAGCCGACAGTTCTGGGCTGCCTAAGGCAGCTAGGCAGGAGCCTGCTTACTGAAGCAGTGTCCTCCATGGCTTCCCTCAATGGTAGACTGTGACCTGAAGAGTAAGCTGAAGTAAACTTTTCCTTTCTCTAGACTGCATTTGCTCAGGGCACTTTATCATAGCACCAGAAGCAATCTAGAAAAGAAAGACTTGGAATGGTCTGCAAACTGACTGTGGATTCAGACCATTATGCCATCCTCCTCTCCTTACCCATCGTTCTCGTGAAAAGCTGACACTTTGGGGAAGTGGACTTCTTAAACAGAGTATGAAAAGCATTACTCATAAAGGAAAAAAATCTACTAACTGGAACTATGCTAACATTACAAACTTCTGTTCATAAAGAGACGCTTTAGAGCAAATAAAACCATCTTACACACTGGAGGATGTATGGAGTGTCTACCTATCCAACATAGGCTTAACCAAAAGTAACTATAGAACTCCTGGAAATCGGTGAAAACAAGAAAAAAGAGAATATGAGCCAACAGGAATTTCACACAATGGGAAACAAATATGGTCATGAACATATGAAGAGATATTCAACTCTTCATATAGGTTACCTGGTAAATGTAAATCTAAATGACACTAAGATTCCATTTTAGCCAGGCATGGTGAAGCAGACCTTTAATTCTAGCAGTTGGGAGGCAGAGGCAGGTGGATTTCTGTGAGTTTGAGGCCAGCCCAGTCTACAGAGTGAGACCTTGTCTCAAAAAGAAATAAAAAGATGTATTTTAAAAGCTTTTTTGGTAAATATTGAGAAATCTGTCAACTGCTAGAAAAGACAGGGATCAAAAGAACGTCATACATTTGGGGGCAGCTTTTGACAACAAGGGGGGCTCCCGTGCAAAGCGGAGCATTAATACGTCCAGAAACTCTGCTTCTAGGCAGATGCCAAGCTCCTGGCATGCAGAGGGCACAGACAATAACATGCCCACAGGAGCAGAGCCCATTATTAGACGAGCCAAGTCACTGCGGTGGGATGGTTAATGGGGCATTACTCGGAAGTGAAAGAAGGGACCGCACAGCCCAGACTGGGGCTGAATCTCAGCAATGTACAGTTAAATAAAAATCAAACCCAGAGAAGCCACACATCATAACATCATAATCTCTTTCTACAAAGTTAACAATGAACAGATGATGAACACACCCCTTAGATGTATGTTATTCTTTCTTTTTTGAGGGAGAGTCTTACCGTATAGCTCATGTTGGCTTTAATCTCATAATCCTTCTGTCTCAGACTCCCGAATGCAGGATTATGATTATGAACCTTTTTCTCCCTTCCTTCCTTCCTTCCTTCCTTCCTTCCTTCCTTCCTTCCTTCCTTTCTTTCTTTTTTGAGACAGGGTTTGTCTGTGTAGTCCTGGCTGTACTAGAACTAGGCTGGCTTCAAACTCAGAGATCTGCCTTCTTCTAACTCCTGATTACTGGGGCTAAGGGTGTGCACCCCCACACCTGGTATACTTAGCCATTCTTAAGGAAATTTTAAAAATAAAATCTAGAAGCTAGAAAATAATACAAGCTACTAAATTCAAGATCAGAGTTATCATTAAACAGGAAGAAAAGATGGGGTATGTAGAGATAAAATACGATTAAGAGTCTGATTTCTATTTGGTGGTAGGCCCTAGGGTATTATTTATTTTTAAATTTAGTAGATGAATAAATAAAGGATGAACAGCTATATCCCAGTGGGGACTGTGTCATAACTCAAGAACATAAACAAGTGCACTATATAATATAGGAAAATGCAACTAGAGCTGGGTAGGCCATCTGCACCTGAAACTGCGGCTTCCAGGGCCCTGCCTGCAGCTTCAGGTACTATGCATCCCTCACTTGCAACTGCAAAAATAAAATGAGCTCACTTCCGTGGAAAACTGGCTAAAGAACTACAGCTCTTCCCCAACTTATGCTGTGAAGCAAGTTCACTAACATGTACTGGGTGAGAGCCAGAGAGGGCAGGGCAGAGATCTAAGTCGGTATCACTGGCGTAGAGAGAAAGGCAGAAGTCCTTCCATTTCTCCCCATTCCTCCCCTCCCTCCCTGTATTTACTGTAAGAGCCGTTATGTAGACTTAGATGACAGGGAGACGAGCAGCAACTGTGGCCAGCAGTGTCAGAGCCTGGGCAGGACAAGGAGGATGTATCACAGGGAGCAGCCCGTCACAGGATGCCCAGACCCGAGGAAGGTGTGCCTGGCGCACGGCAGCCGTGGAGGGCGCAGGCTCACTCTGACACACAGTCCCAGAGAGGGCGACAGTCATAAGTAAATCCTGAGCTTGCACTGGACATGTGGGTTTTCCCAGTCTGTTGTTCTCCCAAATAGCGTAATAACTTTTGGAAAGTTATTTTATGCACACTTTGCTAAATTATTCTCTAATAGTTTGGAGAGAGATATACCTTTGTGCCAATTTCACAGTTTTTCTATAAACTTGAAATTGTTCCAGAGTAAAGACTCTGAAATGGGAGGAAAGGCAAATGTCTACGATTATTTGCACATACATAGACAGCTCTTGGAAGGGCACGGAGACTATTCTGGAAAGGGGACTGGGTGGGCAGTTTACTGTAGGCCCTGTGCATATCCTGAGAGTAAGACATGAGAAATGATTATCAGAAGGGTCCCAAAACTTAAAAGAAGCCCAATCTATCAAAAAAAAATTCAACATTTGGTATAAACCTGAAATTTTAGTTATGATGAGAATAGAAACCACAGCCTATTTCTTCTGACTTAAGAGATGCAGGCTCCTTCCTGCTGAGCTCTCTGTAGGCAGCGAGCCAGAAATCCCACCTAGAAATGTCTCCTGTTCGTACTTTGATCAAATGTTCTCTCACTTCCAGTTGTAACAGATATTGGCGAATAGTCCTTCACTAGCAATATGTAAGAATGCCTTTAGCCATGGGGCTGGGGATGTAGCTCAGTGACAGAGTGCTTGCCTTGCGTGTACAAAGCCATGGGGTTTGATCCAGCACTGAACCCCCGCCCCCAAACAAAAACAAAACTAAAAACAAAATCCAACAACCTAAGCCACGTGTGGCAGGTGGTTCAAGCCACACTCAGAACTCAGGAAGTAGAGGGGGTAGGATCAGGAGTTCAGGGCTATCCGTTGCTACAATTTCAAGGCCATCCCAGGCTACCCTTGTCTCAAACACTCAATTCCAAAACATTGAACTTGTTTTGTGTGTTCTGAAATGAAGGCAGAAGTAACCCCGAGCCAGGCCAACCTCCCAGCCCAGAGATAGTGCAGTTTCTTACCTGTTGCCTGTGTGTATAACGTCTTCTCATCAATACTCTGAACAGTACAGGAAATAAAAAGTTTCCTTCCTTCAGTCTTACTAAGTTGGCTGGTTACCACCACAACAGAACAAAGGGGAATGGGTCTGCAAAAGGGAGAAAAAAAAACATTTTTTTTTTTTTTTGGTTAAATCTGTGTAACACTGGCTGACCACCAGGTGCACAACAGGGTGGATACACACCGATGCTAGAGAGTACTGGCTGTCTCAGCTGGAACATCCCTTAAGGGCTCTGACACCAACAGTGTCTCCTGTCCCTCCTGCTTCCTTTCTCCCACACTCCTGCCTGCAGGGCGTTCTAGGGCATAAGCTCCCAGTCTGCCCTTCTGGGCTCCAGTCCACAGGCCAGGATTCCAGCTGTTTGGGCAGACTTTCCATTCGGAGATCCAGAGCCTAGTCTGATGCTAGTGGCAGAAAGCAGTGAGAACAGTCCTTGCCAGTGTCTGTTATCCTCAGAATTTCTTGGGCCAGTTAGATGACTCAGTAGTAGGTAAAGAATCTTGCAGCCAAGCCTGAGTTCAATCCCTGGGCCTGTATGGTGGAGGGAGACCCTGAAAGTTGGCCTCTGACCTCCACATTCATGCTATGATATACATGTACCCCACCCTAGACATAATAAATACATACATATAATTAAAATTTTTCTTATCGACTTCTTTTTAGAGTACTTGCTGGCCAACAACCTTATTATTCTAAGCCAGTGTTCCGTAGCTGAGCTGTCCAATGTGGTAGTCACATGTGGCTACTGACCACTTGAAATGTGGCTAGTATAAATGAGAAACTGAATCTTACAATTTATTTCATTTTAATTAACTTATATTTAGACTTCGATAGCTATATGTGACAGTGGCTAGTCTTTTGGGAATCCTGGAGGTGGAGCACCACAATGAGAAAGAACTTTCTTTGAAGGTCAGAGTTCTGTTGGTTGATGCAAAACATAGAACATGAAAATGTCCTCTGTTCTACAGCACCACCATGTGGATGACACAAGGAAGTTGTCACTGTGATTGCGGCCCAGCCTTCCCTCCCATCACCTTTTAGTGGAAGGTGCCATTCCACTAGCTCTCCTGACCCCGCTGATGGAGATGCCAGGCTTTGCTCTTCTATTGGTGTCTATTCAACATCTGCCAAGGTCCTGGGGACATCTGGTGTTCTTACCTGTCCAGCATCTCTTTTTCTTTTTTAAAATTTCTTTTTAAGATCTTAAAATTATGCTTGTTTAACTGTGTGACAGTATGTGCAGGTGAGTGCAGTTCCCCAAAGAGGCCAGAAGAGGATACTAGATCCCCCCCCCCCCCACCTGGTTAGCGATAGTAACTACTTAATGCGGGTGCTGGGAACTGAACTCAGATCCTCTGCAATAGCAGTAAGTGCTCTCAACCTCTGACCCACCTACCCAGTCCCCCTTTAAAATGTCTATTTATTTATCTACTTATTGTGTGTGTGTGTATGTAAATATGTAAGGGCACACATGGATGTTTCATGAGGATTGCTTGATAGTGAGGGAGGTCAGAGGACAACTTTAGGAGTTGTTTCTCTCCTGCCTTGCTAGGGTAGGATCTCCTCCAGGCTGGTTGGCCTATGCACTGCCCAGTGAGTCTGTCTCTGCCTCCTGCTTTAATGGAGAAGTTCTGGAATGAAGGACTCCTGCCATGCAAACCTGTTTTCTCTGTACCTACTACTACTACTTCTTCTTCTTCTTCTTCTTCTTCTTCTTCTTCTTCTTCTTCTTCTTCTTCTTCTTCTTCTTCTTCTTCTTCTTCTTCTTTCTTTTTTTTTTGTGTACAGTTGATTTTTGCTGATCTGTTTTCTTCTGGTTGTTTTTGTCTCGTGTATTTTCCTTTATTTAAAACGTTTCTGTGCCAGGCTAGGCACAGAGGTGCACAACTTTGATCCCAGCACTCAGGAGGCAGGGGTTGGAGGATCTTTGTGAGTTTGAGGCCAGCCTGGTTTATGTATGGCGTTCTGGGCCAGCCTGGTCTATGTATGGTGTTCTGGGCCAGCCAGGGCTAGTTACAAAGACCCTGTCTCAACAAACAAACAAACAACTTAAAAAACTTTTTTTCTGTATTTTTTTAAATGTTTCATATGCTTCTCAGCTTTTTACATTAATTTAAATCTTATAACCTGTGTCTGGACTGATGTTTGGTCAGTCAGTGCGCTGATTTATTTCTGGTACTATCTTACTTTGCTTTTTCTTTGATTCACATTTTTTTTTCTTGTTTTAAAAATTGAGTTATTTTCCTATTTGTTTGTACTTTTCTATTGCTTTCTGTATTAGTTATCACTCACTTTAATTTTTGCCCTACTGAAAAATACAAGGAAGGCATTGCTTGCCTTCTCCCCAGCTCTGTCTCGTTTTTAGTGTTTCAGCTTCTTGCTGCTCTCCAGAAGCCCCATGTCCTGCACACGGACCATATTTTTCCATAACCTCTCTTAATTTTTGGTTCAATGAAAACAACTTGACTTTGCCCTCTGAACTTTGGCATGCTGGACTCACGGTTCTGAGCTGGCCTAGTATGCTGCGGAGCCTCTTCTGTTGCTGTAGGTTTATTGCTAGGTAATGGCGCCCTCTTGCTTCCGGAAACAACTTTCCTACGTGTGTTCTTCTGTCTCTGGTGCTTTTTAGAACTGTATAACTAACTTCTCTATAATAATATAATGACTTATCCTTATATATAATGACTTATATATAATGTCATTTATCCTAATTGATATTTATTGTATTTTTTAAACCAATTTTTTCTACTGTTTCTTATTAGAGTTTTGATCTATTCCCATTATATCTCAACTCCTGTTCTCTCTATACTGGATTCAGAAATCTCTCCCTCCCCTTACTCTTAAAATGATTCCAAACCACCACTCAACATATTAAAATGCCAGCTCTGAACACATCAGTAGTCCTAACAGCCTTCTAGAAAAACTGTTCTCATCTCTTATTGGATGAGCCATCTGAGGGTCAGAGAGTATCCAGTGCTGTATCAAACTGAATCCATGTCAATCTGACTGGATTCTGCTTCTCCTTTTTATTTACACTTGGTGTATCTGCCATTGGTTTAACTGCAGTGGACATGTTAATAAAATTGTGGGATATACTTGATGTCTGTCTGACAGCGGAGTGGGTGAGTATCGCTGATCACCACCACGGAGCACACAAGCCTGCTGTGTGGAATCCGGAACAAATCTCAACAGAGGAGGACTGTCTGTAGTGAGGAGAGATTTGAGGCTTCACTGGGCCCTGAGACGATAAAGGACATGAGTGGATTTTCAGGGCAAACACAGGCAGGATTTAATTGTACATTTTAGAGAACCAAGCTTGCTGAGTGTAAGGCCAACTGCTATGCGTTCATCTGAATTGCTGAAAGGTAGAGAAAGAACAAATGTGACCTAAACTCCCAGGGGACAAAAGAACAGCTAGGGATGCCCCCACCCATTCCTGTTTCTCTCAAAGAGAAGTAACTGTGGTGGACGAGCATTAAAGAGCGACTTCCCAGGTGCTAAGGATTCACTGGCATAGCCTTCGTGTGGCGGTTAGAGATGGACATGCCACAGGGGATGCAGCTATATCAGGAAAATGGACAGAAAGCTCAGGCTGTGGTTTTGACTTTCTTCTTCCTTCTTTTCTTGTGGGGGGGAAGGGAGGGGAGAGTGGTTTGAGACTCAGTTTATCTGTATGGCCTGGTGGCCTTGAACTCACTCTGAGACCAGGCTGGTCTCAAACTCAGAGACCTCTGCCTCTGCTCTCTGAGCTCTAGGATTAAAGGTGTGTGCCATCTCTGCCCGACCTGACTTTCTAAACAGATTCAAAGAAAAGGTTTTGAGCTCCACGGGCATTGTGACTGCAGGTTCATTTCCTTAGTTCTACGTTTCTGGTCACTTTCAGTTGCATTAACTAAGCCCCTTTGTTCTTTAAATAATCCTGCCTTCACATCAAAGTTATATTGAATTGATGTGGGAGTGATTTCTTATTAATAAAGAAACTGCCTCGGCCCTCATAGGACAGAAAATTAGGTAGGCGGAGTAGACAGAGGAGAATGTTGGGAAAAAGAAGCTGAGTGAGTGAGTCGCCATGATGCTCCCACTCCAGACAGACGCAGGTTAAGATCCTCTCTGGTAAGCCAGCTCATGGGCTACACAGAATATTAGAAATGGGTTAGAACAATATGTAAGAGCTAGCCAATAAGAAACTGGACCTAGCCGGGCCAGGCAGTGTTTGAAAGAATACAGTTTCCATGTAATTATTTCTGGGTATAAGCTAGCCATGCGGGCGGCCGGGTGCCGGGGACGCAGCCCTGCCGCTCCTATTTCAACAGATGGCGCCCAACGTGGGGCTAAATCCACTTAAAAACCTGAGAAGCCTTAAAAATAAGGGAAACAGAGTTTAACACAGATTTTTGCTGTTTTGTTGGTGACATGCTGTAGAGAGATTCCTGATTCAGCAACAGCAGCAGAGAAAAAAAGCTGCGTCATTTTAAAGCGCGGCTTCCTGGTGCTATGCTGCCAGCGTGAACTCTGGCTTTAAAGCATTTCAAGGCTTTTATGGGACTGGATGTTTCTGTTCCCACTTGGGATCGGAGGAGATTGCTCTGAGACCTGCCGATGGCTCAGCGTTCCCTGCCTACACCTGGGCAGATGGCGGAATCAGGCTTAGGCAGGCGGAAGAGCATGGCGGATTCCTGCTGCCATACAGAGACGCGTTTTCAGACTGCGCAGTGCTCTGCGTGTCAGATTTGGCTGTAACTTGGATAAAAAGAGTTTCTGTGCTGCACACTCAGTCTCAAAATTAAATTGCTGATTGCGGCTCCAATGTAAACTGCTGTTTGCCTGTAACTGTGCTCAGCTCAAAAGCACCAAATGACTCTGAGGCAGGAGCGGCTGCTCCTTGCTGAACTGTGCTGATCTCAGGCAGGAACTACCGTAATTACCTTAAAACCGTGCAGTTAAGGTTTAGACTGGGCAGGACACAGGCAGTACCGTATTACCTATACATGGTGCAACTTAAGTTTTTAAGAAATGCTTAACATTTTAAGAAATGCTCCTGGAAAAAAAAAAAAAAATTACAGATTCACAGTAAAACAGATTCAGACACCGTTGGATGAATGTACGTAGGCTTGGGGAAAAAAAGAGAATATAAAGAATAAAGTTAATGTCTTAAAAAGAAAAAGGGTAAAGTCTTTAAAGAGACAGAGTACAGAAGTACAGATAGTTATAGATTAAGAGAAATAAAGAAAAATAAGCCACGTAAAAATGAAAAATTCACAGAGAGTCTGGATTATGTACATTGTGTTTTCTTTAAAATTTTTGACTGTGAAGGAGCTAAGTACAAAGAGACATTTTATTATATGGGCTGCTAAGCTGAACCTGCACATATGTTCTAAAGGTATCTTGACTTCAAAATTTGGATCTAAGGATATGATGCTTTGGAGAGGGTCTTCTTTTGTTTCCACAGAGGATGTGACCCTATGGATTGCATCTATCCCGGTATGGTATGATAGACCACGCCCTCCTGAAAGGTTGCTGTGAACACCCTCAAAAAATTACTTCACTCAACTGCCAACCGAGATGAACCTGACACACAGGTTACACCCTAAATGATCTGATTAACAGTGCCCCCATTCAGCAGGAAGCAGTTTGGAGAGAAAAAACTACGCCCATGTTCCCAAATATTGTTTATAAATGTTCTTTTACATTTAAAGGGGGATATGATATAGATATGAATAATTTGCATTGGTATGGATTTTAAGGTCAATTTTGTTATATGTATATGTATTTTTGAACTTGATTAAGGTATTGTGATTATGTAGTTCACTTAAAATGTAATGTATAATTAGGAAATATAGGTTGTTAATGGATAATCATTGCTAATAGTTAAGCTTGTAGTCATGTTAGTTAGATTTTCTAGATATATAGAGATATATTTCAATTAGATAGGCATTCTTCATATCTTTCAAAGACTGCAGAATATGGCATTTAAAATATTTTAATAACTTAGGACTTTTCATGACAAGGAGACACGTCTGCTCCTGGCAGCACCAGCTACTTCAAGAGGAAGATGGGCATCGAAGAGGATCCTTATGGAGTTGGATAGTCATTTGGGCAAGAAACTGCTCTTGCCTGGACTGTTGCATAAACTGGACACAGAGAACCCTCAGAGAGAGGACTGCTGAACTTGCCTAAAGGTGAGATGGTCTTTCGGGGTTCCTGATTCATGAAAGAGTCTACAAGACATTCTACAGAACACAGCAGAAAGTGACTGAACTGTCTTTAAAATTTCCTGCTTCATGGAAATGTATCTGGATACCATGGGCCTGTAGGCCGAAGATGGATGCCCCAACGGTACAGAGGAACTTTGGGTGACTGTCCAGGCAGCGAGATGTCTCTGTCATTTCTAGAGTTTTCTTATTTCTTGTTTACTTAGATAATATTATATCCTTCTGGAGTCTTTGATGGAGTTGAAGAATAAATAGTTATAGTTTTCCTTAGTTATGATAAGAGATAAAATAGATATAAATATTGTAACTGTAATTCTTACTTGATAACTGTTTTGTTATATGTAATTTTACTATGCTAAAGTTAAAGCCTTTCTTTTTTGTTTAAACGGAAAAAGGGGAAATGATGTGGGAATGATTTCTTACTAATAAAGAAACTGCCTTGGCCCATTTTATTGGATAGAAAATTAGGTAGGCGGAGTATACAGAAGAGAATTCTGGGAGAAAGAAGGTTAGAGGAAGAGTCGCCATGATGCTCCCACTCCAGACAGACGCAGGTTAAGATCCTCTCTGGTAAGCCAGCTCATGGGCTACACAGAATATTAGAAATGGGTTAGAACAATATGTAAGAGCTAGCCAATAAGAAACTGGACCTAGCCGGGCCAGGCAGTGTTTGAAAGAATACAGTTTCCGTGTAATTATTTCTGGGCATAAGCTAGCCATGCGGGCGGCCGGGTGCCGGGGACGCAGCCCTGCCACCGCTCCTATTTCAACATTGAATTCCACAGTAAATCTAATTAATAATCTTTACTTTCTTTTTCCTTTCATTTTCTTGGCATCTCACATGGTCGTGTGCGTCTGGTTATCCCATGAGGACAGTCTTTGAGGATCTAAGTTTGTTGTTGCTTTTGCTGATAATCTTTAAAACTTTTAAAAAAAAGGACTTTCATCTTTTATTTCTGTTCATATGTCTATACAGGTGTATGCCCATGTATGTAAAGGTGCCTGTGGAGGCCATGGGTGTAACTGTTGAGCTGTCTCTCCAGCCCGATACTCACTTGTTGAATTAGGAGCAGTGGGGCTGCGTCCCCGGCACCCGGCCGCCCGCATGGCTAGCTTATGCCCCGAAATAATTAAACGGAAACTGTATTTTTAAACACTGCCTGGCCCGGCTAGTTCCAGCTTCTTATTGGCTAGCTCTTACATATTGTTCTAACCCATTTCTAATAATCTATGTAGCCCATGAGCTGGCTTACCAGGGAGGATCTTAACCTGCGTCTGTCTGGAGCGGGAGAATCATGGCGACTCCTTGACTCAGCTTCTTTCTCCCAGCATTCTCTCTGTTTACTCCACCCACCTATGTTCTAACCAATAAAATGGGCCAAGGCAGTTTCTTTATTATAATTAACCAATGTCCTTCCTCCATCACTCACTCTTATGTATGTATGTACGTATGTACATATGTATATATGTATGTATGTATGTACATATGTATTTGATGTAGAATCTGCTTATGCTGAAGAATATCCTTGAGTATTTATTTTCTGCCACATAGAATCGGGAAGTCCAGTGGTGAGCTTCTGGCCTGATATGTCATGAAGAGGTTATAGGCTCAGACACCTCCCCTTTCAGTACCATCAGTTTTTAACTGTTCTATCCTCAATGTATTTAGAGACAACGAAATAGTTCAGACAGATTGGCTGGCTGGAAACCGAGATGGCTAAGGTGAGGTTTTGCTTCTTAAAAGTGAAAAGGTTGTAACCCTCATAAAGTTCCAGTGTCATTGTTTTGTTTTTTCCTTGTAGAATTAAAAAGGCAATTCTGAGACATATGTGGGAACAGAACCAGACCCATTAACGCAATCTTGAGAAAGAAGAAAGCTGAGTCAAATATTACTTGATCTCAGGATACCTTACAAGGCCAGATAATTAAAACACAGTCCTGGCATATAAGTCAAAGGAACAGAACACTGGGTTCAGACACAAACCTACTCACATACAGTCTATGTTCCTGTGTGGTGAGCATATCTGAGTGTGAGAGACTGCATGGAGAAAATGGGGGCCATTCTCCATTTTATTCAGGGTCTTACTGAACCTAGTGGTCACTGACTTGCTTAGACTATCTGGTCAGCAAGCCCCAGGGGTGCCCCCACATCCTCCTCCCCACACTGGATCGCAGTCATGTGGTGCTGTGCCTAACTTCTTCTTACAGTGGGTGCTGGGGTTCTGAACTCAGACCCTCTGCACACACAGCGAGAACTTTTCCAACTGAGTAACCACCTAACCTCACAGTCAGGTGACCTCTGACAAGGGTGTCAAGAAAACACAATGGGTAAGATACAATCTCTTTAACAAATAGGAAAACTGGATATCCGCAAGAGAACAGAAGTAGACCCACATCTGTGGGGGCCTGAATGGCTGAGGACATCCTTTCCTGGCTGTTTTCAGATGATAAATTTCAATCTTGCCTAACTTTAAGTTGAAGTTACCATTATTGGCCACTAGAGAAGAAGAAATGAAAATAACATTTCTGATGGAGGTGGGTCTTGTATCTTATCTGTTGCTTTTATTGGTTAACTAATAAAGAAACTGCCTTGGCCCTCATAGGACAGAAAATTAGGTAGGTGGAGTAAACAGAAGAGAATGCTGGGAGGAAGAAGCTGAGTCAGGGAGTTGCCATGAGTCTCCCACTCCAGACAGACGCAGGTTAAGATCTTCTCTGGTAAGCCACCTTGTGGGCTACACAGATTATTAGAAATGGTTTAGATTAATATGTAAGAGCTAGCCAGTAAGAGGCTATAGATAACGGGCCAGGCAGTGTTTAAAAGAATACAGTTTCTGTGTAATTATTTCGGGCATAAGCTAACCATGCGGGCGGCCGGGTGGCAGAACGTAGCCACCTACGTTCTATTATAACACATTTCTGTTTTTGTTTGAGGGAAGGTAAGGGACAGGAGGAACTACAGAGGAAGGCAAGCGGCTCTGTCTTTTTTCCAATTGAACCTCTGGGCTTGGCAAACTACAGCCCACTGGCTCCTCTTCTTTCTAAGTTAGTTTTACTGGAACACAGTTATTCTTATACACTATCTATAGCTGTTCCTGTACTTTCATGGCTGGGTTGAAAAGCTGTGTCACACACTACACAGACCACAAATATAAAATATTAACAGAAAATGTCTACTGACCTCTGAAATAAACTTTTCTATAGGACGATACTAGTCTAATATACCTAAGTATTATCTATAGAAAAATGACTTAACATCTGTGAAGCACGGCTTCCAAAAGCTAGCACTCAGGTAACACGGCTTTTGTGATATGTAAAGGGGGGATGTTTAGTAACTTATGTACTCTATGTTTGTGGTGGTGACCCCTAAGCTTCCCTGAGACTTCATATTTTGAAGCCTTTGTTCTTACACTGTTTTTGACCTTCAGCTCATTCTCTATTCCTTGCTAGATGCTGTTCTGTTGTCTGGTGTGGGAGTGTAGCTGGATGGTGACAATCATGCTGAACTTTGCTTCTGACGCATATCAAATTCATCTTATTTCCACTCCATTTCTCTGTGTAAAGTGAGGAGAACCCTTTCTCTTTTTCTAAATATGTAGGGGATATTTGGGCTCCATCCAGATCTTACTGAGTGAGATGCTCAGCTGGCCGGGGCACTTGCTGCTGAGCCTGATGGCTGTGTTTAATCTGTGGGGTCCACATGCTAGAAGGAGACAGCTGACTCTTACAGGTTGCCCTCTGATTCTATACACACAACATGGCATGTACCCTTTCTCACATATATACAAATTAATAAAAAATAAAAATAAATTATTTCCTGGGTGATGCTTTACTCAAGCATAGAGAGCCAGGGCAGTCCTCACCCTATAACTGGCATAGATGCCAGTTACTGATGGAAGGAATGATTCTGAAGCATGACTCTCTCTTCCCAGAATTTCTTTGTGAGTTTGGTAGAAGCTACTCTTTGTAGAACTTTGAGAGTTGAGGCTTGGTGGCTTCCTCACTATCCTGCTTCTCCATCTCCCTTGCTAGTCCTTCGGGAGCACTTCCTGGATAGTAACAGACATACACCTTGACTCAGGATCTGCTGCTGGAGAATCTGACTTAAGAACATAAGAACTATCATGGACTTACTTTTTATAGTCAATGTTGAGGTTGGCAGTCATGGCAATTCCCTCAGCAATCGCACACATGCCAGTAGTAACATCAATGATGGTTGCAATGGCACCTCCATGAACAAATCTAGCCACAACAGCAGCAGAAGAGAAAGTTTCAGAAGGTCAGGAAATAGCCTCTCAAAATGTAAATTATTCAAGTATGTAAACATATCTATGTATGTATATGTATATGTACACACACATCTCCTTACTTTATTCATAGCAGAAAGGACACTTGTAATAAAACTGGAGCTTGGTACTGATCATATTATAGAACGAAAAGCTAAACTTTAATTAGGAAACATTTAAAATTTAGAAAGTGGGGCTCAAGAGTTCAGAGCACATAGTCTTGCAGAGCACCCAAACTCAGTTACCAGCATCCACAATGGGTGCCTCACAACTACCTGCAACTCCAGCTCAGGAGGACCGGACACCTCCGGATTCCTTTGGTACTGGCACTCACACACACACACACACACACACACACACACACACACACACACACAGTTAGTTTAAAGTAATAATAAAAGGAATGTTTAAATTTTAGGAAGTGCAGAGAAATAGAAGGAAGAAACCTTTCAGCCCTTAATACTACCATCAAGTCATGGCAAAAACATTGTAAACATATTCATCATACTCTGCTGTTCTATAATATATTATATGCATCATTTAATACTATGTTAAAATTTTGAAATTTAACCAACATAGATAATATTCAACTAGTGTGTTATAAGCATCTTTCTATACCAATAAATATATATTTATATTGCCATTTTAATGTTGTCTTTGTAGTCCCTGAATATGTGAGAATAAAACTCTTTCTGCTCCATGCTGCTAGGATAGTTCTTACCCAGGTACCCCTTGCAGATGAAGACCTCCTTGAAACAAACAAACCATCTTCTTCTCCACTTTATTATAGAACATCACATATTCAAACCCCAGGCCTTCTTCTAAGCTTCTACTGAACTGTTGGGCCTTTGACACTTGTTCTTCATTCATAAACCTGGGATCTGAAAAGAAAATAAGGGTATGGGACAGGAGGGCAAAAAACAGATAGAAAAACGCCATGACAGAACTAAGCACCCGTGCCCTGCTAAAATCATATGTGGGTAGATAACTGATTGAAATACCAAAGAAAGGAATGGAAAGGTCACAGAAACAGTGGCTAGAGATGCAGTTTAATTGGCAGAGTGCTTGCCTAGCAGGCTCAAAGCCCTGGGTTCCCAAGCCCCAGCACCACATGAAACGGTGTGTGGTAGTGCGTGGCTATAATGTTGGAACTTGGGAGATAGAAGCAGAAAGATTAGAGGTTCAAGGCCATTCTTGGCTACGTGGTGAGTTTGAGGCCAGTCTGGACTGCATAAACCTTCTCTCAAAACAAACTAAAACTAAAACAAACAAACAAAATTAACAGAATATAACAGAACACAAACTTTCTGGGACAGCAAAAAAAACCCATATATGCAAACATACATGGGCAGAGTAAAAAAACCAAAGTACCTACATACACACGACAATTAGTGACTATGGCAGGAAGCTGAGCGAAGCAGTGAATTCTTCTCGGCTCAAGTGTGGTTTAAATGGAATTTAGCAAGAATGAATAATCCGACAGAAAGGAAATGGTTTTCCTGGCAGATGTGAATTTACCCTGCTATCCTGAATTAGCAACAGAGATAGTTTAGCCTAATAAATCATATTTGTGTCAGAACTATTGTGGCTCCTGAAATCAACTTAAGAGTTTAACATTTCTGGTCAAGATTATCAAATTGTAAGGTAACTTATAAACATGGAAAAAATAAGTAAAACACATTTGTTAAGAGAATTTGAGCGTCTACCCCTGTTTAACTGAGGCAGAATCTGCTATTTGACAAGATTCCCAGGGTTTCACATTTGGGTTAATGCCTCAGACTGAAGAGTGCTGCCGGCTGTAAAGGAACACCGGGAGATTGGCACTCTTGGTGGGAGGAGGGTTCTGATGGAGGCCAACTTTACACTATAAAATGAATAATGCCCACCAAATATGGCATGCAGATCAGTAACAGTTTCCACGCATATATCATTCCCGCAAAGCTGAGCAGGTAGAAGCCAGGCTGCATCCAGTCAAGGGTATCCAATGAATCGTGTGATGTCGGAACAACTGTAGTAAAAACAACAACACTACTTTTATAGTGCTAGCGATTAGAGCCAGGGCTCTGGGCACACTAGCCAAGTCATCTAGCAGTTAATCCTGTGGACTGGGGTGGGACTGGTTTCAGTTAGAACAGGGTCTCACCGTGTAGCCCAGGATGGCCTCAAACGCTCATCCTCCTGTCTGAGCCACCTGAGTATCAAAACGATAGGCATCCTCTGCCATACCCAGCATGGACATTTACTTTTAAGTAATTTGTAATAGTTGAAATTTAATAATGCAACTTACTTAAGAGTTAACTTTTCCCTTTATTGATAAAAGAATAATTCTTGGCTCTCAGCTGAAGAAACAGAAATCTGAAAATGACCAACTATTCTTGGTTAATTTGACTTTTGTTTCATTTATTCCTTCAGCCATGAGAACACCAAGGTATGGGAGGGTAAAGTATTTTGCCCAAACTCACACAGATTTCTATGCTGTGTAGAACCCCAGAATTTCAACCTAAACATGTGAGACTAAGTGTGGTGGTTAGTATTTCTGTCAATCTGACACAAGCTAACGTCATTCGGAAAGAGGAACCTTAACGACGGAGGGGCAGCCTCCATCATTCTGCCCATAGTCGAGCTTGAGAGATATCTTGTTGATTAGTGATTGGTTGGGGAGGATCCAGCTCACTGGGGGCGGTGGCACCTCTGGGTCCTGGGTGGTATAAGAAAACAGGCTGAACAAGCCATGTAGAGTAAGTCGTCAGGAAACAGCCTTCCTCTGTTGTTTCTGCTTGAGTTCTTGCTTCCCTTCATAATTGGCTTGTAAACAGTAAACATAAAATAGACCCTTTCCTTTTCAATTTGATTTAAGTCATGGCGTTTACAGCAACAGAAAGCAAGCCAGGACCTGAAGTTCCAATGATCATATTTTCAGTGGTTCCTAAGGCCATGAGACTGAAGGGGTGTACAATGATAGAGAGTATTATGTACTGAGAAATGGGTGCACCCACGAAAGTCTGGTGGCGGAGTGTTGGAGTAGTCCCGGGAGACTAGGATGAGTACACAGCTGTGGCAGGTCTGCCTGTTTCTGAGAAAGGTGTGGCAGGGAGCAATGTCACAAGCAGGCCAAGGGAAGGGAGTACGGCACAACTACCTTTATTCATGGTCAGTTCATTCATGCAGGCTAGAAGCAGATCAAGCTCGGGTACAGGAAGGAGGGGACAAGAAGTGAGGAGAACTTGGAAATGCCCTTCTGCTGGCTTCCACTTTTATTTAGTGAAACCTGCTGAGAGTGAGAGGGGGAGGAACTAGAGGTGTGAGTGGAAAGGAGGCAGGACACAGGCAGCCAGAAGAGCCCAGTCAGTAGACTAGGAAAACAGGGACAGGCTGCCAGGAAACATTAAGGGCTAATTAGAAGTCATCAAATATTGTGTAAAACTCTCAGAGAATTAATTAAAATAGTTATTTAATACAGAGCGTGTTAAAAATAAAACCAAACAAACAACCCAGAATGATGGGAAGTGTAATTTGTGAGTGTTAGGCATGAGGTAGTCTTTGGGCCTGAAGTCTGAGAGATCAGAGGATGTGCTGGCTAGTTCATGTCAGCTAGAGTCATCAGACAGGAGGGCGCCTCAGTTGAGGAAATGCCTCTGTAAGGCATTTTCTTAATTAGTGACTGATGGGGGAGGGTCCAGCATCTCATGGATGATGCCACCCTTAGCCTGGTGTTCTATAGGAAAGCAGGTTGAGCAAGCCATGGGGAGCAAGCCAATAAGCAGCACTCCTCCATGGTCTCTGCTCCTGCCTCCAAGTTCCAGTCCCACTTGAGTTCCTGTCCTGACTTCCTTCAGTGATGGACTATAGTATGGACGTAGAAGGCAAATAAACCCTTTCCTCCCCAACTTGCTTTTGGTCATGGCGTTTCATCATAGCAATAGTAATCCTAACTAAGGCAAAGCATAATTCAAGTGCTCTGATCTTATCAAAGGGAAGAGCCCAGATTTTGAAGTAAAGAGAAAAGAGATTGGTGATGTCAGCTTCAAGATTCTAGGTTGGGAGGATTTTTTTTTTTATGGTTTTTCGAGACAGGGTTTCTCATGTAACAGTTCTAGCTGTCCTAGAACCAGCTCTTGTAGACTAGGCTGGCCTCAAATTCAGAGATCCACCCGCCTCTACCTCCCAAGTGCTGGGATTAAAGGCATGCGCCACCACTGCTTGTCTTAAAATTAAGATCTTTTGTTTGTTTGTTTGTTTCTGTTTTTTCGAGACAGGGTTTCTCTGTGTAGCTTTTTGAGCCTGTCCTGGAACTAGCTCTGTAGACCAGTCTTGTCTCGAACTCACAGAGATCCGCCTATGTCTCCCAAGTGCTGGGATTAAAGGCGTGCGCCACCATCACTTGGGATCATCTTATTTTTGATATGTTTTATTTTTCTCCCACAATTCACAAAGTTTTGTGAGATTTCTGGCCTATGAAAGTAGGGACTATAGAACCCACTGTACTATTGCTTTTTTTTCTTTTCCCTCTTCCTAATCTCCTTCCCATTTCCCTTACTTTTTCTTTCTCTCTTCTCAATCCCTCCTTGCTCTGTTTCCTGACACTCCTTTCTTTCTTCCTCCCCACTCCGAAATGGGGTCTTACTATGTAGCCACTGCTGGTCATGAACAGGACATTGTGACCCAAGCTGGCTTTGAGCTTATGCTCTTTCTGCCTCAGCCTACTGAGAGGATTATACACATGGAAAAATTAACATGTCTGGCTCTTCCTTCTCTTAAGTAATAATTAGTGCTTCAATCTGTTACACTTTACATTGATGTTCAAATATTATTTATGGGAAAGTGGCTGTTCTTACCAACAAAACGGGTTTGGAAGTCTTTAAGGGTTTGAGTAGGATTTTGTCTGTATGAGGGCAAACGTTTCCAGGAGCCATCTTCACACTTCTTCATGAACTGGTCAAAGAGGAGTCTTAGGTCCTTGCTCCAGCTGGGGTTTGGGAGACCATAGTCCTTGGGAATGACTTTCTCAGAGGAAAATAACCTCTAAAAGACAAAAAGGAATAGGAGGTATGTGCTATTTCATATTTCTACAACCTCCTAAGACTACCGTGCTGCTTTTCTTACTGCTAGAAGATGATCACTTCAAAATGGCTGGGAACTTCAGAGCTCATTAGACCTCCACCCCTTCACAGAAATGACAGAATGACAGAGGGTCAACGGTTTTCCCAACTTCTCTCAGCTAGTTACTGGTAGAGATAGTATTAAGCCCAGGTGAGCCAGTCATCAGAAATAGAGAGATGGACAGGTGAGATATACATGGGGTGGTAGTTTGAATGTAATTGGTCCCCATAATCTCATAGGGAGTGCACTCTTAGGAGGTGTGGCCCTGTTGAAGGAAATGTGTCACTGTAGGGGTGGGCTTTAAGAGAGATGGACAGGTGAGATATACATGGGGTGTTAGTTTGAATGTAATTGGCCCCCATAATCTCATAGGGAGTGCACTATTAGGAGGTGTGGCCTTGTTGGAGTAGGTGTGGCCTTGTTGGAGGAAATGTGTCACCATATTTGGGGGTAGGCTTTAAGGTTTCCTATGCTCAGGATACCGCCCAGTGTCCAGATCATTTTCTGTTGCCTGCAAGATGTAGGACTCTCGGCAACTCTGCCAGTATCATGTATGCTTACACATCACCATGTTCCTGACCATGATGATAATGGTCGTAAGTGAGCCACACCAATTAAATGTTTTCCTTTATAATAGTCGCGGTGGCCATGGTGTTTCTTCATAGCAATAGAGACCCTAACTATGACACACAGGAAGCTGGAACACAAGGGAATGCTAGTATTTGGCTTTTTGACCTGAATATTGATAAGCAGAGACTAGCCATTTGGAAAGAGTAGCATAAAAATAAAACCAACCAACCAAATAGCAACAACAAAATCAATGTGTGGAAACGTAAGTTTTTATTTACTCTATGCAATAGGAACTATTGTCCACATTGTACAGATGATAAAATTAAGCTAGGCACAGTGTAAGAGAAGGAGCAGAAGGACACGGAGGTATAGGCAAAGCCTCAATGCTAAGCTAACTGGTTTGAGTCCCATCTGCAGCACTCTCTGATTATTTAAGCAGGGAGTGACATGCTCAGATTTGGCCATAATAGGAAAGAGAATGGTAATGTTCAAGATTGCATGGAGGATTCTACTTGGAGGTTATTGGGGTAACTCAGCAAGAATTATTAGATCATAAAGCAGAACTCAGAGACTACTTCCATAAAGCAAATGAAGGAATAGGATAAACACTATACCAATCCCTGGTGTATGAATGGCACCATGGAGTAAATGACAGTTAATTACAAGAAAGAATACAAGAGGGACAAGGAGAAAGCTCAGAGACAGAGGCTGGTGTCATGGTAACCATGACTGTCACTCATGCTATTTCTCTGGAGCACTGAGCATTGCCACCATTCCAGCCAACATCCAAGATGTAGAGGACCAGGAAGACAGAGTGTGATCTATGAAGGAGCACAAAACAGATGCTCATAGGGAGCAGACAGGGGAGGCCAGCAGAAATCTCAGGACAGTTAACATTAAAGAAGGCATCAACCATGTGGCATTCTCCTTCTAGTCACCGTTATCAATCCATCTTGATTAATGTATGATTGACTTGGACCACACCCCTGACATCAAGACACCATGCTTACTCTCTGGTGGAAGAACTGACTTCCGCTGATGCCTTAGTTGGCTCCAGTCCGGATTCAATAGGAAGAACAGAGGGAGCCTGTCCCCAGCGCTCTATAAAACCAAACACTGGATTAGTGAGGTGACTCACTGGGTAAAGGTGTCTGCACCAAGCCTGATGACCTAAATTAGATCCCTGGAACCTATATAGGGGGAGGAGAGAACTAACAAAGTTGTCCATAAAGTTGTCCCCCGACTTCTATTAAAAAATAAAATGTAAACAAAACAAAACAACAACAACCCTTCCATGGAGATGGAAGTACTTGATTTTGTGGTACTAGAGAAACGAGAAAACAAACAGAAATAACATTTTGCTTGTAGCTCAGGATAAGTAACTTCATTTTCTATGCCTCTTTGACCGGCTTATCCCTTCAGAACCCAGCTTAGATAATCTAGGAAAGACAGAAAAACCGGGAAAGGCAGAAAAAAACTCTGCCCATTATTTCTCCCTGTAAATAAAATTGTGGGAAAATATTAATGCATTTCCTGCAAGTTCTTTTCACGCACTGCTCTGCATCCTGGTTTACACTGCCAAGGTAGTTCACTTTACATTTTTCCTGGCAAGCCTCTGGCAGCAAAAACCTTGCATAGTTCCAAAATTGTAAACGTCATTCAGCAAATTTTTTCCCTCTTTTTATACTGCTCATGCCCACTGAAGTTGCTATCTGTTTGTTGGGGAACATTATTTTAAGGTGTGTGACTGTTGTTTATGCTGCATTTGTTTATGCAAATGTAAAGCTGTGGTTCTTTGCCTGCCTGTAACACCTGATGATCCCAATAAAGCGCTAAATATTCAATAGCGAGACAAGGGGGGGGGGCTGGCAGGCAGAGAGTATAAATAGGAGACCTCTGGATGCAGAGAAGGAGCAATGAGAGACCAAGGGAAGGAGGACGTCAGGGACCAGCCACCTAGCCAGTCACGGAGTAAGAAGCCCACGCGAGAGGTAGAATAATTAGTTAAGGAAAGCTGGGAAGAAATAAGCCAAGCTAAGGCCAGGCATTTATAACTAAGAATAAGTGTCCATGTGTGATTTATTTGGGAGTTGGGTGGTGGACCACCAGAAGAGTCAAAAAGCTAAGAGAGTAATAAATCACGTTCTATCTATTCTTTTACTTTTCACTGAGAAAAGTTTTAAAGGAGTGGAAAGATGGCAAAAGCCAGAGGATCCAGGACTTTGCCCTGAGGTTGTGTTTCTTAGTATATAGCAGTAATGTCGCCCCAACATGACTGCCCAATGTGAGCTGAACAAGGATGACAGCAATAGACATGCTAAACTACACAGAGACCAGCCCAAGAGGCTTCAACCCTCCATAGAGAACTACAGGCAACTGAGTAAAGCTGGGATTGGGAGGATGAGGCGGTCCTCCCCAGGGAAGAGCACACCAATTGGTTGTCCAGTCCCAAACAGTCAGTGCTGAAACATGCGTACTAGTAATATTATATGGACTCGACAGTTATATCTGCGATTATGTATGCAGATATAAATACATATAAGCATACAAGAACAACTGATGATAAAAGAGGTGAATTTAAAGGAGAGGGAAGAGGGTATATTGTGGTGATATTTAGTTTGTCATCGAACAAATAAAGCTTGCTTGAAGATCAGAGGGCAAAGCTAGCCATACTAGTTAGCCATAGAGGTCAGGCAGTGGTGGCACACACCTTTAATCCCAGCACTGGGGAGACAGAGGCAGACTGATCTGTAAGTTCAAGGCCACCCTGGACTACACAAAATTGAATCAGTCTAAAAGAGAAACAGAGGTCTTGATCCCAAGACTCGGGAATCCCGTGCCTTTAATCCCAGCACTGGGGAGGTGGAGACAGGAGTGATGTGGCTGGGCTGAGAGAGGAACATAAGGCGGAAAGAGACAGGAGTTTAGAGCATTCAGTCTGATGACTTGTAGAGACAGAATACCCCATTAGGTCTGAGAATTTCATAGAGACAGGAACTAATGGCTGGCTACTCTGCTTCTTTGTTCTTTCAGCTTTCATCCACCCCCCCCCCCATATCTGACTCTGGGTTTTTATTATTAAGACCAATTAGAATTCATCCTATATCATATGAGAGGGCTTACAGCGTAAAATGAAAGGGAGAAATGTATTTAAAATACAATCACAAAATAAACAAAAATTTTATTTCGTTTTGTTTTTGAGACAGGGTCCTGCCTCCCAAATGTGGAATCACAGGTATGTACAACTATGTCCAGCCTGAGAGTCTTATTATTTATATATAAGATCAGGTCTCACTATGAAGCCCTGGATGGCCTGGAATTCATTATGTAGATCTGGCTGGTTTGAGCTCACAGAGATCTGCCTGCCTCTGCCTCCCTGGTGCTAGGATTAAAGCTGTGCATCACTCCATACTAGTTCTTTGCAGGAAACTGTTCTCTTCTTCCATCGTGGGACCAAACTCATGTCTAGAGGATTGTGAGCAGGTACCTTTACCCAACTTGCATTTTGCAAGCACAGTACCCCCACCCTGTCTCAGATGTCTCTCTTATTGATTTACTTCGGGATAGGTCTCACTATATGTAACCTAGCCTGGCCTGGTACTCTATGTGTAGACCAGGCTGACCTTGAACTCAGAGAGCCACCTGTCTCTGTTTCCTGAGCGCTGGTATTAAAGGTGTGTGTCATTATTCCTGGCACATTTTCATCTCTTTAAACATTTAACATTTCTTGGTTCTAGTAACTTTCAAGTGTCTTTCTTTTCCTGTATAAACTATATAGTAGGGGTTTGGGGCGATGGCTTGGAGATGGCTCTGTGGGTGAGAGGTGTTTGTCTGCAAACACGAGGACTTGAGTGTAAATCCCCGCACCCACAGAAGCTGGCCATGGCTGAATGTGCCTGTAACCCCAGCACTGAGAGTGTGGAGACAGGTAGATCCCCAAGAGCTTGGTGGCCAGACAGCCTAGCCAAAATATCCGGTTTCTAGTTCAATGAAAGCCTCTGTCTTAAGGCAAAAGTAAGGTGCAGAGTGATAAAGGAGGGCTACCTGACAGCCTGCCCTGGGCTCTGTACGCCTGTGGTGAGTGTGCCACACAACTCTATAATAGGGCTTGGAGATACAGCTCAGTGGTAGGACACCGATTTGACCCTCCCCCCAAGAACATACCTCTACATAATAAACCACTGTAAACTGTAACCACCACCCACCTGTGCTGTGGTGTTTATACTCATGTGACTATATTTTGATATTGGTTATTCAGCTTCAATATTCCTTCCACCCTTACTTATCTCTCCCCTTTCTAGTCTCTAGCAATCAGTACTTTCTGCTTCTATGACATTAGGTTTTTTTAATTCCCAGAGTTCTTCAAATAAAAGTTTCCTTAATATACTCTTAATCTGAGAAATAAATTTCTCTGTGTTGCCATTTGAAATGATTTAGTATTCACTTTTCTGTGTTCTTAGTCTTATTACCACATGTGTGTGTAGACGTATGGTATATGTGCATGTGTCTGCTTGGGTGTGCTTGACATACATGTGAAGGAAATCTCATGTCCTGCTCTGTTATACCTTTGAGATAGGATCTTTCATTGAACTTGGAACTAGGCTGGTGGCCAGAAAGCTCTGGGGATCCTACTATCTCTACCTGCCACAGTGTTACCCACTCAAATGGCCACGCTCAGTTCCTTTCTGTGTACGTGTCTGTGTGAGTGTAGGCAATGTGTGTGCAGGTACCTGTGGATACCAGAAGACGGTGTTGGTGCAGCTGGAGCTGCAGGCAGTTGTGAGCCGTCCCATGAGGTGCTCTGCAAGAGCAGGGTGACTGAATGAGAATGGACCCTACAGACTCATATATTTTAATATTTGGTTCCCAGTTGGTAAAGCTATTTGGGAAAGATTAGGAGGTACGGTTTTATTGGAGGCGGTGTGTCAATGGGGGAGGACTCTGTGACTTTAAAGCTCACATCATTCCCAGTTAACTCTCTTTGCCTCCTACTTGCAGTAAGGAAATAAGGTCTCAGCTACTGCTGCAGCACGATGCCTGCCTGCAGCCATGCCTCCTACCATGATGGTTATGAACTCGCTCTCCAGAGCTATAAACCTTAAATATATGCCTTTTTCTATAAGGGGCCTTAGTCATGGTGTCTTCAAAGTGTCTTGGCTCCACTCAGATCTCTTAAATAGGAAACCCCAGCTTGGAACAGTTTTAATATCCTTTTATAGGCTAGTGAAATACAGTTAATTGAAGTCTTTTAGTAATCAGAAGAACTCCTGGGCTCTCCTACCAATGTAAATTTTTTTTTTTTGAGACAGTGTCTCACTATGTAGCTGTTCTGTTTGAGACAGTGTCTCACTTTGTATACCAGGCTGGCATAGACCAGGCTGGCCTGGAATGCACAGAGCTCTGCCTGCTTCTGCTTCCTAAATGCTGGAATCAAGGGTGTATTCCACCATACCCAGTCTTTTAACTTTTAAAGATAATTCAAAAAATTTTCTTGAGTTCTATAATGTGGCCTGTTTGTATACCAGAGACAGGAAAGACAAAAAGAAAAGATCTAGGCCCTGCCTTCAGGTGTTAGGAGCCGCAGATCTGGAAATATTACTACAGACAGAGAGACAAGTGCTTTCAGGGAATACTTAAAAGCAAATAAGCAAACAACACACATCAACAACAACAAAAACAAAACACCCAGAGTGATTTCTTGCAGTTAAAGCTCGTGAAGGTGAGAACTAGGGTTACACTAAGCAAAGACACAGAGGCTAAAAAGACTACAGAACACACTAGATTGACAAAACAAGCGGATCACACCACAGGTCTTAAATTTAACCTTCTAGGTCAATCAATGGTTTAAAGAATTAGTGTGAAAGGTGATTTTAGGAAGCACAAGGACAAAGACTGATGTATATTTAAATATTATGTATAACATAATATGTAATTACAGTAATAATAAAATCCTTTCTGTATTTATATCACAGAAGAACATGAGTAGCACGTGAGGCAACACACAGAAAATTTAAAACTATTTTTCTTCTTTTTTTAAGTAAAAGACAATCATGTAAAAATTTCACGAAGGCGATACTTGAGTGTTGAAATGCCTTTTTCCATGATGAGCCTTCAGCAAAGGAACAACATTGGTTTTCAGAAAGTTTCATCAAGGGAAAAAACAATGAGAAGAAAAGGGAAAGCAGCCAAAAATCGTTAGAGGTCTAGGTCAGAAGGTCCACAGCAGAATTAGGTACGGAGGAATAAGAAGAAAAGGTTCAAGTGACAGTCAGCACCAGAACCCAGGGAAACGGGAGTTACTGACTTCAGGAAACAGAAAGTACTCCAGAGTTGTGGCTTTGATGGCATGGTTAGAAGAAAAAGGTGTTTGTGAGGGTGGAAGTGTGGGTCAGAGAGAATGGGTCTGAGGGGTGCTGAGTTACCTTAGATGGACAAAACCACTCAGTTTTCAGTTCAAAGAGGCGAGACCTAAGAGCTACTTGCAGTAAATGCACTTGTAAACCTACTGCACAGTTGTGACTAAAGGATGAATCCAAGGGTCATTACCCTTTGTTCTCAGTAGAGGAAAGGTCATGCTTGATCTTTAGTTACAGATTTATCAAGGTTGGACTTGTAAGAAAAGTTATGGCCTTTTATGCCTCCTTAAAGATGTCGAGCCTATAAATACTAACACTTAATTGTTTACAGCACAGACTGCCAGGCACCAACCTGTAACTAAAGAAACTAATTCACCTTTGTGGTTGTATAATTAGCACAGTGCATTTTCCTTTCTAGTGGACAAGATGGTACCTGATTAATAATCTGCATTCATTATTCTCTTAAAATTGTGTGTACGTGTGTGTCCGTGTCCACCACTGAGCTACACCTTCAGCGCCCACTTTCAATTCAGCAGGAAGCTGCAGCAGCTTGAGAGAGATGCCACAGCCATCTAACAATCAAAGTTCGCTTTCGGTTCTTGCTCAGTAGAGAGCTGTTCCCTGTTGTCCCTCAGTCATTTATTTTTAACAAAAATTCAGGCATTTAAATTTAGCAAACTGACCCCATTCTTCCAAACTAGACCATAAAATCCTTAGGAGGAATTTTTTTTTTTTTACCTTTTTCCTTACCTAACTGTAATATGTCTTACTTCTTATCAATGGCCAATTATGCCTGTAGGGCCCAGCCATGACAGGCTCAACAGAGACCACTCAGACACCACCCAGGAACAGACCATCCAAAGGATGGTCCCAACCATTGCAGATAGGATTATCTGATGTCCCTTAGTACAGCACATACCTATCCCCTTTTCACCAGGGCACCCCTAGACAAATGTCAGTCAATCACGGGTGCTCAACCTTAGAAATCCCTCACCTCAAACTCTGCTATTATAAAAACCCCACCCCGCTGGGGAAGAAACAGAAATCTTTAATAAATAAATAAATAAAATAAATATTAAAAAAAACCCACCCCAATTGACCTCGGGGGTTCTCTGCTCGTGCCAATGCGCTGGACATGGAGAGTCGGCGTTCGAACTTGAATAAGAATAAAGGCTCTTTGGTTTTACAAATGGGACTCGGTCTCCTTGTTGGTTTTGGGGGGACTCTGCGGATTTGAGCATAACAATGCCTGGAATATTGTTGGAGCTCAACAAGTACTGACTGCATCAGTGAAACAAAGTAGGGATATAAATAAGGGCAGGGGATTATTTAAGACTTACATTCCAGGCATGCTATACGCTTCCGCTTCCCTTGCATTATCTCATTTAACCTTATAACATCCTCTAAGATGTTGAAAATGGGCTAGAGAGGGCATAATTGATTATCTGACAGTGGGAAGCCTTTTCCCCTGTTGGTTATAATGAATCAGAGACCATCGGGATTAGATCCTGGAAAGGGTAAGTGCTCTTCTCCAGCTGTCTATACAATGGAAAAAAGAGAGCATCTTCAACAAATTGTGCTGGCAAAACTGGATGTCAATCTGTAGAAGAATGAAAATAGACCCATATCTATCACCATGCACAAAACTCAAGTCCAAGTGGATTAAAGACCTCAATATCAGTCCAAACACACTGAACCTGATTGAAGAGAAAGTGGGAAGTACTCTACAACACGTGGGCACAGGAGACCACTTCCTACGTATAACCCCAGCAGCACAGACAGTAAGGGCCTCATTGAATAAATGGGACCTCCTGAGACTGAGAAGCTTCTGTAAAGCAAAGGACACTGTTGCTAAGACAGAAAGGCAACCCACTGACTGGGAGAAGATCTTCACCAACCCCGCAACTGACAAAGGTCTGATCTCCAAAATATATAAAGAACTCAAGAAACTAGACCGTAAAAGGCTAATCAACCCAATTATAAAATGGGGCACTGAGTTGAACAGAGATCTCTCAACAGAAGAAGTTCAAATGGCCAAAAGACACCTAAGGTCATGCTCAACTTCCTTAGCGATCAGGGAAATGCAAATCAAGACAACTTTAAGATACCATCTTACACCTGTCAGAATGGCGAAAATCAAAAACACCAATGATAGCCTTTGCTGGAGAGGTTGTGGAGAAAGGGGTACACTCATCCATTGCTGGTGGGAATGCAAACTTGTGCAACCACTCTGGAAAGCAGTGTGGAGGTTTCTCAGGAAATTTGGGATCAACCTACCCATGGACCCAGCAATACCACTCTTGGGAATATACCCAAGAGAGGCCTTATCACACAACAAACGTATATGCTCTACTATGTTTATAGCAGCATTGTTTGTAATAGCCAGAACCTGGAAACAACCTAGATGCCCTTCAATTGAAGAATGGATGATGAAAGTATGAAATATATACATATTAGAGTACTACTCAGCAGTAAAAAACAAGGTGCACCCACACACTGAGACAATGGGGATGTCTTATCGGGAACTCACCAGCGGTCTATAATGGCTGGCTCTTTCACGGCTTTTCTGGACGATCTTGCTAACTATTATTATTATTTCAGTAGCAGTGGCGGTCCTATCCCTGCTGACCTATCTCAACCTCGAGTTACGTTCCCTTCCCGATCCTCCCGATTTGAGTCTCAGGCTGAGGAGCCGGTGCCCCGTTACAGCCGAGGACCGGCTGTCTCTCCCGCTCGCACCATCACCGGGGCGACCCGGGACTCACCCACACTGCTCCGGGCCTCCTCGCAGGCGGGACACCAAGAGCGCGCAGGCGCGTAGCGCAGCTTCTTAGCATCGCTCAGGCCAGGGCAGGACGCCGCTGTGTCCTCTCAGCCAGAAAGAGCCGCAGAACCACACACGCCGACACGCCGGCTCCCGACTAGTAACTGTGGAGGCGGGTGGAGGGCGGAGCCGCGCGCCGCCGGAGCGCCTCCCCGAGCCCGGGCGGACCGACTTCCCGCCGCCCGCCGTTGGTTCCGGGACACTTTGTGCCGGGCTCCCAGTCGCGGTTCCCTCTGGCAGGGACTCCTGCACTAGCGCCGCGCGTTTGCTGACGCCTTTAGTTCGAGTCCCCAGGCAATTAGCGCTCCACCCTGCGAAAGGCTCAGCACCTCGGGCAGACAGGAGTGAATGACCTTTGGGAGCCCGTTGCTGGTGTGGAAGTACGGTCTTCCTTCCGGTGCAGGGCATTTGCACGTTTAAAATTGTCAGTCCCTTTCTCCATAACCTCTCCAGCAAAGGCTATCATTGGTGTTTTACTCAGCAGTAAAAAACAAGGACTTCTTGAAGTTTGCAGGCAAATGGATGGAAATAGAAAACTATCCTGAGTGAGGTAAGCCAGACCCAAAAAGAGGAACATGGGATGTACTCACTCATATTTGGTTTCTAGCCATAAATAAAGGACATTGAGCCTATAATTCGGGTTCTTAGAGAAGCTAAATAAGAAGGAGAACCCAAAGAAAAACATATAGGCATCCTCCTGAATATTAACCTTCATCAGGCGATGAAAGGAGACAGAGACAGAGACCCAAATTGGAGCACCGGACTGAAATCTCAAGGTCCAAATCAGGAGCACCAGGAGAGAGAGCACGAGCAAGGAACTCAGGACCGCGAGGGGGGCACCCGCACACTGAGACAATGGAGATGTTCTATCGGGAACTCACCAAGGCCAGCTGGCCTGGGTCTGAAAAAGCCTGGGTTAAAACCGGTCTCGCTGAACATAGTGGACAATGAGGACTACTGAGACCCCAAGAACAATGGCAATGGGTTTTTGATTCTACTGCATGTATTGGCTTTGTGGGAGCCTAGGCAGTTTGGATGCTCACCTTACTAGACCTGGATGGAGGTGGGTGGTCCTTGGACTTCCCACAGGGCAGGGAACCCTGATTGCTCTTTGGGCTGACGAGGGAGGGGGACTTGATTGGGGGAGGGGGAGGGAAAGGGGAGGCGGCGGTGGGGAAGAGACAGAAATCTTTAATTAATTAATAAAGAAATAAATAAATTAAAAAAAATTGTCAGTTCCTCCGGCCGGTGGTGGCGCGCGCCTTTAATCCGGGTACTTAGAAGGCAGAGACGGGCGGGTCTCTGGATCCGAGGCCAGCTCGGTCAACAGAGCGAGTTCCAGGACAGCCAGGGATACACAGAGAAGCTCTATCTAGTCTCAAAATACAAAAACAAAACAAACAAAAAACAACCAAACAAAAGAACAGCAACAAAAAAAAGTCAGTCCCTTCTATTTAATATACACACTCTTCAGTTGCACTCTGTGTGTGTGTGTGTGTGTGTGTGTGTGTGTCCCCGCGCGGATCTGTGTACTGAAAAGAATGTGTTTCAACTTTTACTTTTGCAAGAACCGTCTCTTTCAAAGAGAGTGCACTGGACTGATTTAATAGTTAGCCTGAACTGTCTGATGGGAGCCTCTTTAAAGACTATCCAATGATTCACTGATGTGTTGTTCATTCTGTGCTGGGGATTGCTAGACAAACAGAAATCTCACAAGGGAACAAGGAAACAAGGGGAGCAGTTCAGCAAGGCAATTCTTTTTGTTGAAAGAATGCACCAAGACCCACCCATGGCTAGCAAGCTACACAGGGACAGGTGGCAGAAACCACCCTCCCCCAATTGCCTGGAGTCTGTCATGATTGGCTTAATTTTTTTTTTTTTTTATTTTCGAGACAGGGTTTCTCCGTATTGGTTCATATCCTGGAACTAGCTCTTGTAGACCAGGCTGGCCTCGAACTCACAGAGATCCGCCTGCCTCTGCCTCCCAAGTGCTGGGATTAAAGGCGTGTGCCACCACCGCCCGGCGATTGGCTTAATTTTAAAACAATATTTATGGAGAAAATGGAAGGGGTTGGCTCTTTAAGACAAGTTGCTTAAGTTCAGAGAAGGTGGCAGTCTATGTAAACAAATATTTTATCCGGTTGAGGGTAGTCTACACAGCACTTGGGAGGCAGAGGTAGGAGGATCCCTGAGTTCTAGTCTAGCATGGTCTACATAGTAAATTCAGCCCAGCCAAGGCTACCTAGTGAGATTCTGTCTCAAAAACCAAAAATGAAGAAGTGAACAAGAATCTGCATAGAGCTGGAGAGCTGTTTCAGGGATGGGTTAAAAGCACCGCTCTTTCAGAGGACCCAGATTCGATTCTGAGCACCCATGTGACAGCTCATACTTGTTTGCGATTCCTGTTTCAGGCAATCTGATGCCTCTTTTTCGTCTCTATGACACCAGGCATGAGTGTGGTGCACAGACAAAAACACCCATATAAATAAAATAATTGTTTCTCTACTCTCTTTCACAGTGGATAGTTATATGCCTTAAAATTCACTAATTGGAGCATTTAATCTGTTTATCCCACCAAGCCTCTTTTACCTAAGACACTCATTTTTTTTATAAGAATCATGATGCAGTTTATTAACAACATATGATTGGGAACAATACACACATATGTCTTAATTTTCATTTTACAAGTGCACAGTAATGGGTCTCATAAAACTGCCACACAAAAATGAGATTATAGCAGGGCACTCATTTTCACAAGCCCACACTAAGCTGAGTCAGTATGATGCTCCTTCATCTGCTTGGTGGAGATGCTGGTGTAAACGGAACATCTCCAAAGAACTCACTTTGTACAGAACTCAGGAGCTAATAAGAATGTAAGTGGAAGAATTATTTGTAATTATGAAAGTCACAATCCTCAAAATTTCAACTTATTATACAGCAGTTATTTGTTCTGCCTGCTCATTTAAAATAAGAGAGTTTGTAGGATTCTGACAGCCTCTCCTGTACACTGTCTTTCATTTCACCTGGGCTAGACCACCCTCTGGTGACTGGAAGGGCTGGAATTTGCATTATGATGCTAAACATTGCTGATCCCAATGGGGTTGGAAGCTTGGAAATCTTGTTTGTTTGCTTTTAAGCAGTATCTCATCAGGAGACTGGATGCTTTGGAATGAACTATGTAGACCAGATGGGTCTCTAAGTCACAGACATCTTCCTCTATCTCCCTAGTGCTGGGATTAAAAATATGTGGCATAATGCTTGGCTTGGAAACTGCTTTTAAAAGCAAATATATCTAGAGATAGTAACTATAAGTTATCCATTTCCAAATTTCTAAATACAGAATGTCATTTCTATTAAGTTTTGCTAGGCAAGAAACCAGAGGCTAGGATTATTGGGGAACCTAAACATACTATCAGAAGGTTATAGGATGGTCACACTGCTGTTAAAATGATAAAATGACTACAGTGGTGGCAAGATGCTCATTTTTATCTGGAAGTTTTCTCTTTTGTTGGAGGCTAGGGTCAAAGATGCCTGATTTGAAGGCTCCTAATGAACTAGAGTTGGTTACTTACCACAATTCCAGATGAGAGAGAGAGAGAGAGAGAGAGAGAGAGAGAGGTTTGCAAGTTATCCCAGAAATTTGTAGCACTCTTAGACTCTTAGACTCTGGTCTGGTGGATCCTGGTCGATTGCAGCTTCGGTGTCAGTGTAGCCTCCCCTTTCTTGGTAAGGTCTTTCCTGGGCAAGGTGTTTACAATGTGATATGATTGCTTTATGTGCAGGATCATTTAATCCCTGTTAGACCTTCACTAAGTTTTCCTTTAGGCATATTCTCATAGTTGTAATTCAATCGAAATTTGTAAGATGCCTGTTTCCTTCAGGAAACCATGGTGTTTTTTTTTTTCTTCAATGTTCCATGGCTTCCTTCTGTATCTGCAGTACCCAGCACAGATCATAGACACTTGAAAGCAGTTGCTGAGAGAAAAAGGAAGCCCTACCCAAGGTAGGGTCTCACTTGATCTAGGTTGACTTTCAACACATGGTATAGCCAGGGGTGTTCTTCAACTGTGGTGGCATTTTGCTTGCATTTTAATAAATAAAGCTTGCCTGAAGATCAGAGAGTAAAACAGCCCCACTGGTCAGCCTTACAGACTAGGCAATGGTAACACACACTTTTAATCCCAGTAGCTGTAAGTCCCTGTGTCTGCCAAACCTTGACCCCTCCCCTGAAGAGGGTCAAGACAGCCCACCAAAATCTTGACTACTCTCCTAGTCTATTTAAACTGCTCCCCTGGAAAGTTCCCTTGTGCCCCCCCTCCCTCTTGCGTTCACAGCTTCCTGGTTCCCCCTTGGGGCCACCCTAAAGCATAGAAATCCCATTAAACTTGGATATTTTTTATTTTGGCTTGTTGTGATTTGGCTTGATTGTGATTTTTGTGTCAGTAGAGTGCTTGCATTAGGAAAATTCCTAACATCTGGAGGCCCCACTGGGGTAGGGCTGCCTTTCCGCATGTCCATAGGCCACGTGCCGAAGCCCCCTAGTCCATAATCCAAGCTCTCCACACCACGCTAAAACTGCAAAAACTGGCTCCCGGACTACAGCAGCTGCGTCTTGGTGAGTCCCTTTTTCTTGTCTATGCTATAGGGTTTTGGGGACCCATTCGTACTTATTTTTGTTGATTATCGGACTCTTGTCGAAGCCACGGCCCACTCCAAGAGTTCGATCTCAGCAGCTAGGCTGGGCCTGGCTGAGATGGATTTTGTTTGCTCCAGGGACGCCTAGCATTCAATTTCTATGACCCCGTTAGGCCTAAGAGCTATTTTGGCACATGTGCTGTAATAGACTTAGACCATGCAGCTGGGCATAGATTCTAAAATGGGCACTTGCAGTTTAAAGCCAGATCCGCTGTCACCCCGGGATGCCTCTTACAAAATCTTTATAAATTGGGCCTGTCTGATACAATCTGTTCTGAACGGCTAATTTTCCTATGTACTAAGATTTGGCCTCCTATCTTGACAATGGGACATGTTGGCCACCAGAAGGAAGCCTTGACCTTACTGTCCTCCGGGACCTAGAAAATTTTTGTGGCCGTAAGGACAAATGGCCTAAATGGTCATGTG